ATTTCAGTCTGGAGTGCAGCACAGAGAGCTTCCCAGCCTCAGTGCAGCCGCGAAGAACCAGGGAGGAGCTCACGGGGGGAACCCCGGCACTCGGAGGCCCAGGCCAGGGGTTGAATCCTTGGGTAGAATTACCTCTGGCCTCCCTCCAGAAATGTCAGCTGACTTAACGGCTGCACGAATTAACGGCGCACGGGGGAAGTTTTGGTTTGAAAGAGCCGGACCAGTGAGAGGACGATACGGGAGGCAAAGGAGGAAGAGAAACAGAGGGAGGTGCTACGTTTGAATGAAGCACACGCCTTACAGGTTGCTGTTAACTTGAAGCAGCTGTGCAAAAGCACAAACCCTAATGCTCCCACTGACAGCTGCTTTTTGATCAACAGAATTTAGCAAAGTAACAGAGCCTGGAGCATTTTGAACCTGGCAGCAGACAGCTTTTATGGAGGGCTGGGCTTAAAACACATTCACACCAAAACAAACACAAGATAACGGACAACAGTACAGTTAAATGTCACACAGTTAACCTCCTGGGTCCCCACAGTGATATCAATTTAGAATGGAGACAAAAAAATGACCATGTTTTCGGCTCTAAATAATAACTACTAAATCATCGTGATCTGAGATGTTCATGACATTAAGAAGCTCTTCATCCATATGGTTACCAAATGTTTCTGTTTCAACAGCTGGTAGAGACACATCAAACATAGAGAGCATCATGTCCCTAAAATAAAAGGGCAGCTCTGTATAGATCATTAATTCCATTGCTCGCATTTTGGTTTGTGGGCTGAGGGCAGCATCTCTTTTTTTTGGGGGGGGGGGGGTTATTTCCATGTTGGGACAGATGAGGAGGCAGAAAAAGAAAGTGTATGTCTGTTCATCTTTTGTTTAAATCAAACCTGACAACATAAAAAGACTACAAATCTGACTAGAATACCACTAAGCACCTGCTAAAGGTTGTCCAAACACCACTAAATAGAAAATAGGGAAAGCCTGGTTGACTGGAGCAGCCATACTCTCTCACTTCTGCTGCTTGAGACAATGCAGACACCTATTAAAACACCGCACATTACTCCCATGTTGTCAAAAAAGACAGACAAAACTTTGAATGTGTATGTTTTTGTCTGTATTCGCGGATACTGTGACCACATGTGGTGGTGAGCGTTAGGCTTGGAGGCGCACCCCGCGGGAGTCCGCACCCATCACCTGCTGTCACTTACAACTCACAGGCTTGTAGGGCCACTTAAAGTTGTTACAGTGAATTTGGGAGACATTCTTTGCCCTCGAGCCACTCAAAACACACACACTTCACATTCCAGCCAGTGTATTCTGGGTTCCCACTCCCTAACCCTCCAACATATGGAGTCGCACATAGGCATACCACTGCACAAGTGAACGCATATACAGGCATACAATGACAAGTCCAGAAGTTCATTTGAAACCACGTCCGCAGCATCAGATCCATCTGTCCAACACAAACCGGAGGGATCATCTCACTTTTCCTATGATGAATTTGCCTGAGCTTTTTATTCCCCCAGAGCACATATCCAAGAAAATGACTTCTCTATCAGGTGAGAATGACATCCTGAAGTCATTATTCATCATGGCCGCTGATGTTGGAATTAAAGCTTTTCACTCATCCCCTGCTGCCTGTTAAGCCGCGCTGTTGTCTGGCTGTGGATCCTTCTTTGACTTTGAAGTCAAAGAGAAACTCACTAAACCACAGGAGGGACCACCTCATAAAAATATGAGCTCTGTTTGTGCACATTGGCTCCTGTGTGTACAATAAAACAAAAAAGTTCATGTATCTTACAAGCACAGGTTACAAGCGTCTGTTGTTTCACTCTTCAGTCTCCCTAATGACCTTGTAGGCAGGGAAAGTAAACTTGTTCACCAAAAATTACAAACATAATACTTGGCCACGCATAATTAAACCATTTGTGAATCACATTCAACATAAATGAGAGACAAAAAAACATATTGCTGTAGTTTAGGACATATGAGATCACGATTAGTCTGTTTTCTCATTTCCTGGACTGGGTGATCTGGGCATGTAAAACAGATGTGATAAGAGGTTTTAATCACCTATCTGTTTAAGAAAAAAAAAGGTAACATCATAAAGAAAACCATGGCCTATAATTTACTCCTATTCAGAGTGTGTCCTCGTGGCACCATTTTTTCATGTGGGCAGATAAAACTAATCACAGTGTTCAAACAATATATTATCTGTTCTGGTTTTGGTGAGCACCTGCATGTAGTGGTGTTGTCATATTCTAAATAGAGGTTAAGAGGTACTTGGACGGGATTTCGCTGCTTTATTAGTGAGAGAATGCATGCTGTTCTCAAACTCACATCTCACAGAGGTTCATGACTGAACACGCAGCATGTTAGTGCTATGTTTCACAGTAGGAACTCACCCAGCACAAAAGGAAACAACTGTAACGCAACTGCATGGTGTCTGATGAAGACAACTTTGGCTCAAAGTGACTAACTGGAAAAACAAGTATTAAACGGAAATTGTGGCTTGAGCAAATTTCTGTGTAACAGAGAAATTACAGTGTAAACAGTCAAAAGTACCTCATCTGTAACCGGCAGTTTATCGCTACCAACATTTTTAAGTGAATCACTACTTTTGTGAACGTGTTTACGTGCTGGAGAGCATTAAAGATCTGCTCGAGGATCATGAGTCATGAAGATGTAAGTCTGTTGACACTTGTTACTCATCCAACATCTGAGTCAGTGATGTGTGTTTCCAAAACAACTTCATCCAAAATGTTCACCCAAAAATCACAAATCATGTTAAAAAAATGGAGAAAAAAAATTGTACAGGGAAATAAAAACAGAGTAGTTACTCAATATTTGTATGTGCAGAAAAATGTTTGCGATTTCCAAAACCTCTATAGAAAAGCTAACCACAGAATGTGAAAAAGACAATACCGATGCAGCAAAGGACTTAAGTCTGATGCAGAACTTCTAGTTCTTCCTCTGGACTGATAGAAAAACGCTGGTGTTATCACTGCAGATGCAGCTTGTGTTGTAGTCACATGTTATCTCAGTTAATTCCAGAGTGTCAGCCTGCTGCCTGTATTAATGAAGTGTTGAGCCGACCCTTTTAGGTATCCCTGAGCCACTAAAGAGGAACTGAAGTGAGTAAATGACAACATATTTTTCCTGCTAGTAATACAGAACCCAAAACTGGAAAATCTATGTTGCAGAATGTTGTTGTTTGTGATTTTAAAAAAAGCTATTCATAAGTCCTAAACAGCATACATGTATTTTAAGCTGCAATTTTGTGTACCGTCTGCATTATATAATCAGAAAAAACAAAATAAGTATAATCTTGTAATATTATTAGTAAGCTATTATCCACTTTCATTATCCTGTAGGTTCAGGAATTCATAAAGTAATCAAATAAAATCAATAAAACAATTTTACACAGGAATGGATTCATGAACCCTATGTGGTGGAACTGCAGTGATGATTTCTGAAAACCAAAGTTACACTACCCTTTTCACATCTTTTTATTTAAAAAAGGCAGAGCATCCTGATGGTGACTGCAAACAGGTGTTTTACCACCTTCTCCTCACTATCAGCTGGAAAATGTCATGGCTATATCAGAGTTAAGGAGCCTCGGCACGTCAACTGACAGCTAGCCGCTGACTAATTTGATCAGCATTTCTCGGATGCACAATGACAATTCTGCTTCACAATATATGAAGATGCACCTTTAGACACCCATTACGCACCTTCACAATGCCATTTTGAGTCACATGCTTAGTTTTTGGGATGTGATACCTTTAAAAATTCTCTTTTAATTAGACCTGCTGCTTTATCCCAGTTATAACTATTAAGTTGAATTGTTTAATCAGATATCTGTTTAAGTATAACATTTTCAGCTCAATAATACAGAGAGAAATTGGATGAGTTCATGAATAAGTGTGTCGATGTACAAAAGTGTTCGTCAAAACTATGTGTGACCACATTTATGTGAATCACTGGACAGCTAAAGTCCTGATACCAGACCACTCAGCATTAATGAGTTTACGTAAAGGGCCACTGGGCACTTCAGAGGTCAGTGAACCAAAAAAAAGCAAAGCAGACCACCCCCAAACACAGAGAAAGACATTAAATCAATACCCTAAGAGCATCTGCCTGTCCATGCTGCATCATCTGACTGTACAGCAGGTCTCACTCAAACCACCCGGCCTATATCTTCCCACACAATAAGGTACGGGAGTTAGATAATGGCGTGGGCATCAGCATGATTTAAAGGAGGGCTGTTGATTTTCACCCAATCGCAGTAGATATACAGAGAGAAGGCGTCGTTGAGAATGTAGGTCAGCCGTTTAGAAGAATGCGGTTCGGTCCTGCAGCGGATCAATGCGAACACACCCACCCACATTCATACCTGCCCCTGCTGACTGGGCCACAAAACACCGGCAATCGTTTGTCACTGCATTCACTGGGAAACAATGGGTTTGCCAACAGTCCGTGAAATGCAGACACTCAACCCACACAGAGCACTTCACCTCACAGATCATCTGCATTACTACGGTTTCCCCATTTTCCTTTTAGGCTAAAACTACTGCACTAACCTGTCCTCTGGTGCAGCTGCTACAAGTCCGTACATGTAATAATGACAGATAGCTCTGATTGAACATATGGCTTTGCGCATTGAATGTGTGCTCGCATGCTGTACGAAAGCTCTGTCTGTGCACCCCTTAGAATCCCGATGGCACCCAGACAGTCACACATTGTCGTATAAGAGCGTAATTTGAGCACACGTAAGTCTTAATAGCGAATGGTGCTACCATGCAGCTGTTGGACTTTTATGAATGAGACGTGCTGCCTGTTTTACGCACAGGGCTCCGCCACAGATCCAGAGGCAACACCAATCTTTGTCAGGCTCACACAATCAAACGCAATGCCACCGGAGTGTCAATTAGTTTCTCATCCGGCACATCCTCAGTCACACACAGGCTCCGGGTCTTCTCCCATCCACTTACCTTGACAGAAAGTGCATTGTCCTCCCCGCGCGCTGCGGCGCCGGGAGCTGCAGTATTTTCCCGTTCAGCACGCGCCCGCTCATGTCTACGGCCGTCCAGATTTCACGCGGCTTTGTTCGCGCTTGGCATATCCTGCCTCTGAGGCAATGTAGCGGGATAGAGAGGGTACAACCGGTGCTTCCCACCGCCGATAGTCGGAGAACAGGCTGGAAGAGTCAGCAGCGTTGACTGACTGACCCACTCCCGCAGTCCCTCCACTTAGACACACATGCTCCCTTTCTCACACACAGACACACGTTTTCCGAAGTGAGGGAGAGAGGGAGGCGATGAGCAAAGCAAGGGAGGGAGGCACGGATTAAAAGGCACACCCCAAATTCCTCCTCCTTTGGCCCCGTTTCACTGATCGCGAGCAGCTGCGCTTCTGCAAAAAAGCGCACAGAGGTTTTCCGCACGCATTCATCCGCAGGATAAGCACGTAGTCATCAAATTCCCTCAAAGCGACACGTCAAAGACGTTTTCACACTCTTAAATCTCTGATTTACGCAGGAGACACAGCCCACTGGCTCCACTTACTCAGCACTTTGGTAGTCACATCGAACATTGTCATTACATTTAATCAGGGAATTCGGTATTTGTGCTGCGTCAATGGCACAGGCTTAAGACATCTTCCTCCACTGCGCTAAACTGCTAGACCTCAGCATAAAAGGATTGATATAGCCGTACTTTAATGGCGAAAGAGGTGCATATTCAAGGGGTTAACACTTATCTGAAGTTAATGAGAGGCCGCACTTTAACCAATAGGTTATATTATTAGTCTAAATTGTAACTGTTTTGGCTGACTCAGCAGGATTTTGTCTTGTTTTTGTGTTGCTTAAATTTCTTGCTCTTTACTGTGTATTTTTACTTTAATTTCTTTGCACACATAAACAAATGGCTCAATTTAATATTGCATGCACAGTTATTTATCCATCCATTCTTTCTCATATTCCCAACGGGGTCAAGGACTGTGCAATTATCCTAAGGAAAATAAAAAAAACATTAGCCTAAATGCTTTCTCTTTTTTTTTTTTTTTTGTATTTTACATTATTAAAATGTCCATGCTTCTATTCCTGTTGAAGTGTATTACTGCAGTCTGCAACTGCAGACCTGATGGCCTGGCTTAACACTAATCAACCATTTCTCAAGCATTTTAATCACATATAAAAGCTCTAGTCTGCATTAAGAGCTAGGAGGAGTAATCTGCCATTCACATGGTTGTTGGTGTGATGCCTTCATTTCTCTGTGCCTCTATGTCTTTGAACACAATATTGAATATATGTATTTAATTATTCAATTAATTTAGCTCCTTGCGTACCTTACCCTACAGTTTCAGTTTGCATAGGACAAATAGACTGAGAGGTGATGTATGAAGATAAAAGTGACTTGTAGACTTAAGTGCTCTGAGTGGTCAGTGTATTTGTCTTCCACTACTTATAGCGATTGAAATAGTCACATAAAACCTAAAACAATGTGGGCTTTATAATAACGAACACAAGAGACTACAGAGCTAATGCAGAGAAGAAAAAAAACATATAGTTTGATTTATTAGGTGCTAATACTTTTCAACAGTCACCGACTGTCTGGAATAAATGTTGGCTAATTTCCAAACCATCGTTGGCACAAACAGACCTCAATCAGGGTGTAATGAAGCGAGGAGGGTAAATGACTCCAGTGTTTCTATTGTAACAGTGTGTGTATTGGCTGTTGCAGACTGCAGAGGAATAGAGTGAGTATCATGTATCCACTCCCGCGAGCTCTGCCCCCTCCACAACATCCAGTGGTGTTTAAACTCTTTAAGTACTGAGTGGACCCCTGTGAATAGATCTGCCTGTCTTCTGGGTCGGTTCAATAAGTGAATGAAGGGTGAGCGACGCATTCAGAGGAAGGGGGAGATGGAGATAATTAACACTGTCTTTTTATTAAGGACAGGAGAAAGAAAGACAGCCAGCGCGAGAAAAACCATAGAGGGACTGGAATTCACAGCCAGAGAGAAAGACAAAAAAGAACTAGTGAAAACACTCTTTTCAAGTGTAATAGGCACAAACACAGGACTCTGCTGCTCGGTCACGCTACACAGGGCCAGGTGAACACACACTGCTTGTGTGTTGCTGTGTTTGTGGGTCTGACTGGCATGTTGGCATACCAAAATGCAGGTGTGTGGCACTGCCTCTGTTGTTGCCCAGCGTTACAAATAAAGAGAGACAAAAAGTGTTTGTGCACAGAAACAGACGACAACACTCCCTCATTCACGCAAACACACACACACTTGCGATCCTTAAGACTCTTGCTTTCATTAGTGTCGACTCTCATCCGAGTTTCTGGAAGGGCTAGTTGGACGACATTCTGGCTGTCTGGCCAGCTTTTACTTGGACCTCTGACTCATGTCCAGGCATGTCCTCTGTCTCCGGCCCTGTTTGTTTGCTCCTCCTCATTAAAGAGTGTCTCTTTTTTCACTTCAACCCTCCTTTTCACTCAACATCTAAGGCCAAAGAGCCTATTTTCAAGGTCCATGTGTGTGAGTTTGTGCAGTATAATTAGGTGGTGAGGTAACTGTGTAATGACAGTATACAGGCAGGGTCACTCATACGACCCTGGGAACCTGTCACTCCTCTACTGATGAAAGAGGCTGCAGACCTGGGAAAGCTCATCCCCCTTATCAGACCAGGAACACACAAAGATACTCAGATTCACATGCAACACTTGTACAAACTGAGCATAAACACACATAAACTAGCTCAAGACATACATTTATCAAACTGTAAACCTCTTATCAAACACCAGATTTTTCTGTTGCTTTATCAACTTCTCATGAACATCAGTTCAACCGGCAGCGTTTTGTGTCTTTTAAACCCTCAGTCGAAAATAGTCACACAACAACACCTCACTCTCCTCCTGTCCACACTCAAACACATTGTCACACACACACACATGCTGTCTGTTCCTTAGGGAGGATGTTTTCTTTGCCATAGAAGATCATCTCCAAACAGAATGTTATCCAAAGAGTTTCAGAAAACGGGAGTCTTACTTTTCTAAATGATTTCTTAATGCAAACTCATATTAAAGTTTTGACAATATTGGTCGTGGCAGAAAAGAGACAAGTTGTCTCTCAGCCCTATAAAATATTTTTGCCTCAAAGACTCGGGGCAACACTTAAAGAGCTTTTGGTCATAACTACAATATCGTCCTTACAGCATGGACAAAACAGCCATATCTCAAACCTAAGACATCCGATAAAAGGTTTCTGTGTCACACATTAAGCAAAATACCTATTTTCTGAAATGGCTGATCTAGTAATTGATCTAAAATTAATGATCTAGTAAATCAATAAACTCTTTGCAGCTGGACAGTTGCACCTTTTCCCTGTTTGGAAAGCACATCTGAATTAGCAACAGTAGGAGCAATACAGCATTGACATCTATCAATAGGAGAAAAGTGGCAAAAACTGACATGTTTACAGCTCCTTCCCAGCATGGAATATATAACATAAACAGGTGGGATACACAAATATAACATAAACAAATACATAAACCTGTTACAGAATTCTGACACATGCACAGTTTGTTGCTGCTGAAATATAACGGCACTGATGGCTAGTGTTTTTAAAAGAACAGATATCCAGATAATCCATATCTGCAAAATGGCTTTTGAGAGAAAAAAGTTCCTCAGCAAATAGCTGCATGATTCACTTGTCCTGCTATTTCTCAATCTTGCCTACACGTTTCCAAAATCAGTCTAATTAATGAACAAAAAACCAAAGACTCTATTCTAAAAAACACATATTAACATTATTCAAAACAGAAAAACAAGTGTAAACAATGGGACTTTGGCATAGCTCAGAAGTTTTGAAGCAGTAGACTTTTTAAACAGTGGGAACTGATAATGATTGAAGTTCTTTAAACTCCGCTCCTTGTGGTCTTTATTAGCCTTCCCCTAGTTTAAGCAAGAAACTGAGTCCTACAGTCTGAAGAGGCCCTCTTGAAGTTAACTGAGGGACCCTCCATGCCTGGACCACCAAAAAACATCTTATTACATCTTGGTTTGAAAGAGCACTCTTCTAAAGGTTTGGTCTGCAGAGAACAATGTGTAAAAAGACCTGACCTCTAATATGAGTTCTTTTATTATGGACGGATGAAAAAAAACTCCTGAAGCTTTCAAATACTTATGCAGGGGTTTCTGCAGCCAACTCTGGCCGTCTCGCCTAATTAAAATATGTTCACTGTTGGGAGAATTGGAAGATACTTGGAAGTATGAGATTAAGAGTTGGTGTAACAGGGAGAACAGGAAGGGAGGACGATGGCGGGGGTCCGGAAAAAAAAAAGTGTGTGACTAATGTCAAAACAACTCCGAAGAATAACACAGCAGGAGTCAACTGGAGGAAAGCAGGGCTAATTCTTATGCGCATTACAACCCCCCCCCCATCACACCCCACCGTTAAACTTCCAAGCCTTGGTTTTAGAGTGATTTTTGTATGTATGAATGTGTGTAAGTGCATGTGTGTGTGTGTGTGTGGCTAGTAGATTTGAAAAAGGCTTTGACTCAAAGCTTCCAGAAAGCTTGTCCTTAGCCATAAAATTTCATTTACCCCCTATAGATGAACTCAGCAAATTCTTTAAAGTCTGTACAGCCGTAGGAGGGGTATAGCAAAGGTTATAAAGAGTGTATACATTTTTGAAAGAATGTGTGTGGTGGCTGTCTTTTAAAGCAGGAATCAAACTTCCAAGAAAAAGAGCTATCATTCTTTCAAAGCGATAACTAGGGAATGCTAATTTTTTTTACTGAAAACACATAACTAGAATGAATTGAAGTCAGAGGGATCTATTCTTTGTTACAACATAGAACATTGAAAAGCTGTTGAGATTGATCTACTAAAGAAAAACGTGGTTTATTAAAAGACATGATGTCCCAGTGTGCTTGCTTGGGCAGGGCATTAAGTAACTGTGGACTGTGAGAAAATGTTTAGGATACTCTACTCTGCCTCTCCTAAACTCTTCTATTCTACTAGGTAACTCATTGCCTGTATCATACATTTTAAAGAGTACCACCATTTAAAACTATATTGCACAAGGGGACTATACTAAATAATAAAGGCTTAATTTTCCTAAAGACTTCTAAGCTCATGACTGAGTGATGTCATGCCTATATGGTTCATATCCGAGCTTGTTAGTTTAGTGTCATGTTCACCACCAGCTGTTGTTTTCAGGTCATTCACCCCCTTTCCTCTCCTCAATAGGTCAAGTGTGATTCTATCAGAAGAAAATGAAGTTATTTCAAAACATCTTCAGGAAGATCAGGATTCAGTTCTTTCCGTCAAGGAACCCCCTCCCCTCACTCCGCGTGCTTGTAGAAGTCCCAGAGATTTCTTGTGCTTTTCCAAACCCTGCCATAAGAGGAAGCTAAGGATTAAGGCGGATTATGCCATAGTGTCTCCAAAAGGATTTACCAAGCCTCAGCATGTGGAGACGACAGAGGTGCCCATGCGACAGAGGTAGTTGTGATGATGGCTTTGGTGTTTTGCCTGTATGGTGGCCTTCATGGGAAAGCACAACCTCGTTGGAAAAGGCAGATAACAGCAGTACCGGTATTACGTGCCCAACAACATTTTCTGGCTCTTCTAAAGAAAGTGTGAGAAAATCTGTCTGATGGATATAAGTGCAGTTCCCAAGCCCCTTTCCAGAACACATGTTTGTTGCTCAACAGCACGTTTCACAATAATGAAATGGCATGTAGTCAAACTAAACAAATCCTTGGAGGCCAACAGGAGTACAAGTCATGCTTTCCTGCAACAGCCGACACAGCTAATTTAGTCACCGGTGTGTGTATCAGTTTACATGAATATATGTATGTGAGGAGAGAAAAATACCTCCAAAGAGAGAGTACGATGAAAAGAAAAGAAACATATGCCAACTTTATTTTCCAGCAGTGGAAGTGAATGGGCCAGCAAATATAAGAGAGTGTTATTCATGCACCGTATGGCCTGG